TAAACCAGAACAAGTTTGATTTTCACCTTTGCAACCAAAGTGAAAACTCAGCACAAATAAGCAGCGAGTCCCCTGGGATTAACTGTGTCCTGCTGTCTCCTCCATGCTCAACCTTTAAATTTTAGCATTGGAGTCCCCGTAAATCACAGCGCCTACCAGGTGGAGCATTTAGGTCTGATCACTGTAATTTACTGGCTTCTGTTTCACAGTTGTAGGCTGTATGCTTAACCTTACTCAGGGTTTGGCAAATACTAGGGTTTTGTATGGAGGGAGGCCAGGTGGGCTAGTGCGGCCAGATCAGTCAATTCTTTAGCATTTTCAGAAAAAAAGCCAAAAACCAAAAAACAAACAAAGCCCCCCTCCAGAGTACATGCTTTGTTCTCACAGAACCATTTAAATACAGTCAGCAGGAGGTGCTCCGAATTGCTCTGTTCTGTGGTAGGAAGTGTGTATCAAAGCAACCTCATAAAACTGAGATCTGGCCTGTTGGGGGCGGGGAGTGAGCTGCTGACCAAATGCCACTCACTGGATTCCTTAGGATACCAAGCTGAATAGCTTCTTAAATAAATGAACACATCCTAAATTCAAAGGAATTATGTTTCAATTTTTGGTCAAGTTCCCCCCTCACTCCCCTCCCTTCTCCCCTTTCTCCCTTATTTACTTTCTTCAAAATAACATTTTTAGATGACCTTTAAAATGTAATGTTTCAGCTTATGAAATTATTTAAAATGCAGGGGAAAGATGGGAATGAAAATCACCTATATACCACCACTCAGAGATATTCCTTATTAACTTGTGGCATATATTTTCCAACTCTTTTTCTATGTGACGATATTTTAACATAATTCAAGTTATAATGCATATCCAACATTGCATTCCTTTCATATTTTCTTTGAACAAGTGTGTCTTCTGCTATTTAGTTTTTTTCTCCCCATTTCTTTGATATTATGGGGATGACACTAAATACAATTTTTTTTCTACTTTCTTCTTTTATTAGGAAGATATTATAGATAAAACTGCAATAAACATTTTAGCATTACCTGTTTGATGCTGTATTTCAGGGGACAGGACATTGGTAGCATGTGCGTTGAGAGATTTACACCAAGGTAATGATAAACCAGGCACAGACCCCATTTTTGTCTTCCTGGATATAGAGTAAACTTTTAGGGTGCACTGTGACTTGAGATGATCAGATCAGAGATGACACTAAGTACATTTAAAGAAGTACAATCAGATGTTAAAATGGATGATACCTGAAAAAATTATTGTTGGTTTCTGGGTAGAAAGAGAATCTAGAAACATAAAAATTAGTCACAGTCACTAGACTGCCTACTGTTTCTACAATTGCCCAAGCCAAGAGCCCAACATTTCTTGTAAAACTGATGATCATTTTTCTGTTAGGCTTCCCTTGCATAGCCTGGAGGGTCTGCTTTGGCAAAGGACAAAATAGAAGCATAATAATTTGGCTATGAGGTTGAAAATGGCAGCAGTGTTTCTCATGGTTTCAGAGAAAATGCAAAATACAAAGGTGTTGAAATTAAGCCAACATTATTGAAGATTAGAATGCAATAAACACATGCCACTTTGACACCAGCCACATGTGGCTCCTCTCTTCACCTGATCAACCAAAGGTCAGGTACTTCTGTCCAGGGCCAGTACACAAAAACACTTTTGGTTTCTGTCCAAGTTATCTGATTATGCCTGTGACTTCTCACAGCATTTGGCAACCTTTTCACTGAACTTTTGAAAAGAAATCAGATCAGAAAACTATGGTATCTTTGGAAGAACGGGTTGGTAAAAATGAGAAACTATTGGTAAAATAATTACTATTATTCAATTTAAAAAGATTTGAAGCTAGCAAAACATGTAAGCTTACTTAGATAAAAGCCCCATTTCTTCACAGTTTTCAAGACATAAACACTGCGGAGGTTTACAAGGTAGGGGGGGCGCGGGCAGTGGTGAGGGGGAGGCCGGAACAGGACGGACCAGGCATAAAAGCAATAGTATGAAACGTTTGTTTCTAATTTTGTATTTTTAAGTTTGGAACCTCAAAATAAAACTCTCTAATTTTCCATCTTTGACAGGGCAGAGTCTTATTTCTAAATTATCCTCTGCTTTGAGAACTCCATCTGTGACAACAGGAATAATTAAGGCTTTTGAGAAAAGTATAAGAACAGCACAGACCCTAACTCAATAAAGCTTTGATTCTTTTCTCTGGACTATAATGTGGTCTAATTAGATTCAGGCATTTACAGAGTTTTCAAATTATCTTACCCCATGGTTCTCAACTCGGGGAAGAGAGTACAAGTAAGGCAGCATTGGAAACATTCTCTTTCTCTTGTGGAGAACTTTTGACAGAATCTCATTTTTTGTTTCAGGTAGGAAAAGCAAAGGTTCAAGAAAACAGACCTAATCCCCATGGTCACCTTGTCCATTAGTGACAAAGTAGGATTAGCATAAGAAATCTTCTCCCAGGAGAGCATTCTGTCCACCTTGCACCTAGAAACCACGCGGACATGGCAGCATAGAGGCAGCCTCCTTCGCAATGGTGCCCCTGAGAACTTCCTATCCTCATCCCTGAATTACACAGGCCCCCGACCCTTAGTGTCTCAGCCTTTGGACTCTTTCTCTGACCAGGAGTCAGCCATGATGCAATTGGATTTATGTGTGAGATTACAGATGGGTCTTATCTGATGGGACAACTCCAGATGATGGGGAGAGGCCGAGGGATACCATAAGTCCCCTACAACTCGACAAGTGCCATGTACAATTAGTGATAGGGGATGGGGAGGGATTGTTCTTCTGACTTTGGTCTGTCCCTTAGCCTCAGGAAATCTGGTATTTCTAGAGAAAGAAGATCCAGGAACTGGAGAGGTCCCCCCCGCACCCTGAAAATGTCACTCAAATCCCTCCATATACATAAAAGGCTTACATTTTAAAGAGCTGGCAGTGGGAAGTCTACTGTCTTTTTATTGTTTGTACTAGTCACTCTTCATTTCTGGCTCTTCAGTTGCTCTGACAAGACAGAAATGAAATGATTCAAAGATATTTATTCTCTTCAGTACTGGATCCTCCTGCTGGCTCCAGCTACTAACATTATTTAGAAGTGTTTTCAGTTTAAGAAAATATCTACATAAGTATATTTTAAATTATCCGTGATAATGGTGGTAGTGAAAAAGAAAAAAGGCATAAGCATATCCACGGTTAGTTTGAAACTATGTGTTCAATATTCATAACTTCAGAAAAGACTTGAGGAAATGAATCCATCAAAATTTCAAGTAATATGCCAGTATGTTCATAACAGGCCCAAACTGGAAACTTCTCAAGTGCCTACCAACAATGGCATGGATAAACGGCAGTATAGTCACACACCGTATTATCATTCGTCGATGAGAGTGTAGGATCCACAATCAAATGCAAAAGTACAGGTGAATCTCACAAACATCCTGCTGAGAGAAGCCAGACACAAAAGAATAAATGCTGATTGCTTGTATTTATGTAAAGGACAAAAGCAGGCAAAACTAGGGTGCGATATTCGAAGGGAGGGCAGTAGTTGTCCCGGGAGGAGTAGCTGGTAATGTTTTATTTCTTATAGGTGCTGGTTACAGGGCTGTGTTCAGGTGGAGGAAGTTCACTGAGCTGTACACTTAGGCTTTATGAAATGTTTGTATATAGGTTGTATTTCAATAACATTTTTTTAAGAAGGTGAATGGGCATTTTTCAAGAAACAGAAAAACCAACAAGCAGGAAAAACATGAAATCCTCCCTTTCATGTTTCGTTATGAAAAGTAAATATTTATAAAAGAGTGCACCTCTTTTATAAAATATTAATCAAGCAATGACACGAACTATAGTAAGGAACAGGACAGGAAAAGAGAAGAAGGTAAAAGCTCCAACAGTTGAGTTCCTATCAGAGGCTGAGCTGCCCTCGTCCAGACCTTTAGAAGCAGGCCTACTGGTGGCAGAGGCACGAAAGTCGATTACAAAAAACACTTTCCAAAGCTAGACGGCTGGCACAAAAACTTTAGTGAGTAATGGGCTCACGATTTCAATTTATTATCAAAATATTTCCATCAGATGACAAATCTGAAAAGATAAGGAGATGCAGAGCTACATAGATGCAGTTTTGCCCTTTTATTATAGCCACCTTAGGGACAGATTTAATTTTGGAAATCCTACTTGTAAACCACAAGACTCATGTATCTTTAGACAACTGTCCAATGTCAATTTTAACGCAAAGTTTGTACTTAAGCTTGTCATCAATATGATTTATAAGTTTAAAAAGTCTCAAATGTTCATCTGTACATCACTTTACAGACCTTGGTTCATAATTATTTATCTCAGTCTGAAACTTCAATACTCAATGATTAATTATAATAACAATTACTTAGTCATAAATGTAGTTAACAATTAAATATAAAAATTATTATTTATACTTTACTACAAATCTCTTAAAAAGACCGTTTTGAGAGAGAGAGAGAGAGAGATAGAGAGAGAGACAGAGAGAGAACAAGAAATTGCTTAAAAAATTGCAGGGAGCCTTAAGAATCTCAGTACCAGTCCAAAACGGGTACAACAAAAAGAGTGTTAGACATTCATTTTAGCCTTCAGGGCTCAAAATAAAATGACCTCAGAATGAATAACTGATGACTGAAAATGTTAGTTTGAAACTATGTAAGTCCCAAGGCCCCAATATGTATAAGAATTCTTTGGAAGAGATTTGAAGGAGCATAAATGTTGCAAATAAAAGTACAAGTAAGTACTTTGGCAATGTGTTTTCACGTCATTGATGAGCTTTTGCTGCCAACTGCCTTCTTCAACTTCTTCTTTCTCCCTCTGATTAGAAATCCTGCTCTGCCTAATGGTTAACACTTTTCAAGAGACAACATCAAACTGGCAGATCACGTGAGAAACAGAAGTGAATGGTAATACTATCTTGAGAGGTTAAGTATTATTTATACAGTGAGAAGTGACGGACTTGATAGATATTAGATGGCCTCTTCCTTCCACACCTTTCCCCAAAAGAACCTAGCTTCATTTTTATTATGAAATTATTTTATTAGATGCTCTCATCTCTGTTGACTATCCCCGTGTAATAACAGCGACCTCTGTGGTCCATTCTCTTGGGGAGAGAGCTCCCCACTGCTGTGGTGATGACAAGTCTAGCCAAGGGTCGCGCAACTTCTGACGATCACCAAACTCGGCATTTCTTCTCGGGGTTCATGTATGAATTCTTGGGGCAACGAAAGGCTTCTGAAAACTCAGGGGAGTTCTGCAAAGTCCCAATAATCCTGCAAAACAAACGAAAGTCACCATCAGTATTTGATGCTCACATCCACCCCATATGGGAGGGCTGTAGAGTTTCTCTATGTAGGTCAAGTGAGTGAATTTTGGAATTTACAGTTAAAAAAGAAAAACCAAACTGGTAGAATGAGTCCATTCTTCTCATTAACAGATTTTTTAAATGAAGAGGTAACAAAGTATAGGACTTAAGAGAACAGATTTTAAAGACAGACGGTATAGTTTAAATCCTGGCTATGAGTTGTATTTATTTAGCCTCTCTGTGCCTCAGTTTCCTCTTCTGTGAAATGCATATAATAATAGTACCTGCATCTTAAGGTTATTATGGATAGTTAACTTATAAACACAGTACACATGTTTGTAAAATAAATGCATAATTCATGTTTGGAATTACAGTTAGTAAAAGAGTTTGGTCAAAGAATAAAATTATGGCATTTCAAGATAACCTGAAAGAGCTCACATAGTAACTTGAGTATCATAGACTTTAAATACGTGTTTGTTGATTTGATTTAATATAGAAGACAACAATCACTTTATTTTTTCCCCCAAAAGAATTCTATAAACATCAGAAGCTGGAGCCAGCCTAAATAATTGGAAAGGGCTGGCAAAACACCAGCTTCTTCTTACTTCTGAGCCCAAGGGGCAAGAACTACAGTGTCTGACCCCCTGTTGGCACCAAGTAGCCTCTGAGCGGTGAAGCAGGTCAGTATCATGACTCAGAGGTGATGTTTTCCCATCAACTCTGAACCACCTCCTTCCTTCTCTTCCCACGTCACCACACGCACCTTGGGCTGGGAGGAGACAAGCGAACTGGAGTAGTGGGAAGGCGGGGAGCAAGTGACAGGGGAGTTCCTTCTAATCTACCGAAATGTCCATACACGGCAGATGCGTTAACTCCTATAAATCTGAGCACATCTCCCCCGCCCTCAAACCCAGTCTCGGGCAGCAGACAGAATGAAATTTTAAATTTAAATCACTAAAATTTAAATCTTTAAACTTTAAATCGAACTCCATCATTTCCTTACTTAAAACCTTCCAGGGGCCTGAAATGCAGCCTCCTCACTGCGGTCTCCAACGTCCTGAGGGCTCAGCCTTCCTTCCCTGCCTCCGCCTCATGGAGCGTTTCTCTTCCCGTTCCTCATTGGGCTTGAATTATACCGACCTCCTTTCCGTTCCTCAGAATGGCCTCGCGCCTTCCCTGCCCAGGGCCTGCCCTCCTGCACCTGCTGAGCCCTCCCCCTGGAGTGCGACTCCCCAGGGGCTGCATGGCTACCTCCCTCTCAGCCTTCGAGCCTCTGCTTCAACACCTCAGAGGCTTTCTCCAAATACTGTCCCAAGGAGTTCCTCCCACCTGTGCCGGCCCCGTCACTGCTCTCGTCACGATACACAGGGATTTGCGCCGCTTTACTTCCTGACCTCCCCTGCGCTGTACTGTAGCCTCTAGGAGGGCCGAGCTCTGCGTCTGCCTTGCTGCACCCCCAAAGCCTAGCGAACTGCTTTGCAAATTCCAGGACCCAGAATATACCTGGATGAATGAGCCTGTCACCCAATCGTGGCGATTACATGTATAGGAGTAATAGAGCATTTTGAAGAAAAACAGTGCTTAGGATTTTCACTGTTTGTTTACTCGCTACTGTGGACCAACTGAGATGGAAAGAAAGCAGTTCCATATCCCCTTTCCAGAAAAGAAAGATCCATATCACATTTCTCATAGGCTGACTTCCCAGGACCACATCAGCTCTCTCTCAATCTGCCCCCTGCAACTCCCCTATCCTTCAGGGAGGATGTAAAGTTTTTTGGTTTTGGGGTCTCCTCTAGGAGTCCTAGAGATGAAAGGGAAAAGGAATTTTTCTGGTATGGGGCTGGGGTTGGAGGGGGAGGAGGGATGGAAGCCAGAGCTGAAGAATTCACATCCGCTTAAGAGGGAGGAGCCTGGCCCACTCCCCAAGCCTGAGGAGGGGCCCAGAAATGGCAGGTCGCGGGATGACGGGACACAACCCCACTCCGAGCAGGGCCCTGCGAGAACTTCTGACAGGGTGGTGTGTGGCTGTCGGGGCCCATGGGGGCCTTGCCCATGACCACTGGAAGGAAATGGAGCCACCTGACTTCAGATGGGGCCCTGGGACTGCAAGAATGTCCGCAGCGATCACAGCGGGGCGGAGATGCAGAGCCCCTTCCCTAATTTCTCAGCTCGCAGCCCTAGAAAGGAGCACGCTGAAGACCACTACGGAAATTACATTCCTCACCTCCGGGCTTAGGGTGGGAGTTTACAGCTTGAATTAATTTGATGTAGAAATAATAATAAAAGTGCGTCATTTCTTACATCTGGAAGTTCAGACCAAATTCATTTGATATATGGTTTAAAATGCCCGTCTATATAGGAATAAAAAGATTTAGACATGAGGGATTTGTATAGGTCTTTAGTCTTTTGGGTTCTAGCTCCACGGACTCTGAGTTCCAGAGAGCTTTGATGCATTTAATCCAGTCCCTTCCCCACTTCAGGGAGACCTGTACACTGGCCGAGGGACAGTCAGTCATCACAGTGGCCTGAGTGTTCCTAAAACGGAGGAGGCAAGCTCCCGGGTGGGCTGACAGGGAAAGCAATTTAGAGTCACTATTTGAAAGGATTGTGCCTTGATATAATCCTATGGGGACAAGTACTTCAGTAAAAATGTCCAAACATGATTTATTACACATTTCTCTTAAAAACATTACGGAAATTAGTAAGAAAAAAGCCACACCTCAAAACGAGAAAGTCTTCACGAAACATCACGAGGAGTTAGCAATGCAACAGTGCTCGACCTGAGGCACGCGCTGCTCTCCATCTCCCCGCCACCGCCTCTTTCCAGCGAGAGCTTTGCTTAGGTAATTGATTCTGAACAATTAGGTCAACAACATACCTGGGCTCTGTTTACCTTCCTAGAAGTCTAGTTATTGTTTGGTTGTTTATAACATCAAATCTTCGGATGGATGACATAAATACTCTATTTCAAAAAGTGGATACATTATTAATAAAAAAATGAATCCTCTATGAGTGGGATGAGTGGGATCATATTTCATTAATACTAATCCTTGAAGCGACTTGCTTGAAATTTTTACTTCACTACATAAACTATTTTATTGAACTGCTGGTGTTTATTCCCATGGCAAATAATCATTTATACTAAAAACATCTATAGGTAGAGGGCGGGGGGAGGTGGAATTGGAAGGAGGTAGTCAGAAAGGTACAAACATTTATGGATGTGAGCTGAACCTACTGTGGCAATCATTTCATAATATATGTAAATCAAACAATCATGCTGTATGCCTTAAACGTATATAGTGAAGTATGTCAGTTATTTCTCAATAAAAATGGAAAACATAAAAACAAAAAAAATTTAAGAGATATGGGGTTGAACATCATGTGACCAAAGATGGACTTTGTATCCTATAACTTATCTGACTACTCCTGTCTGTAATTAACTGGATTTTAAATTGCTGAATGAGTTTTGTGCAATGAATGGGTCCTCTGACAACCTTTGGTTACTTCTTTTAAATGAATAACTTGGCTACAAGATTAATTAATGAATAAACTATCCAATCTTTACCATTAACTAATAATAATGTTCATGATTCTTTTAAAGTAAGGTCCTATTGACCAGCATATGTTTTACTGTAAATTGATAAACAAATAAATGCTTAAATAGAGCCCTAGGTAAGTGCTAAAGATTAATAAGTACTAATGGGAATTCTACGAAGCTCACCAAAATCCACACTGGTATTTACAAAATATAAGAAACCAATGTTAATACTTAAAATAAATGGATAAAACATCAGTATTTCAGAGAGGGTTTAACTTAAGCATGCTAAATCATGGAATTGTAAGGAATAAAACAGCTATATTACTTGAAAATGTCTGCATAAAACACTAGAAAGGGTATTCTTTCAAAAGTACTAGAAATTAAGCTATGGAAAATGCCCTTTTTTTCTGACTGGAAAAATACTATCAAACAATCTAAGCATCTAAATTAGTACTATTACTATTTAGGTAGTATACACACAGGTATCATTTTGTCTATTTGGATTTGCTTTAAAAAATTATGAGACCCTTCTATATTATGTAGAAATAATACATCTAAATAACTTTATAAACATATTTATAGATTATATAGAAAATATTATCATAACAACCAGTCCCCAAAGTGACTGAAAGAAGTCATTAAATTGCAAATTCAATTTCTAGATTATCAAGAGGAAATGTTTTTGTTTTAAATACTAATATTTTAGAATCTCATTTTAAAGTGTGTAAGATTTTAGAAAAAAATAAAAAAAATTATAGCTTAGACATAAGAAATGGTTTTATATATTGAGCTTCATAGCAAGTATAATTTGCCTTTTGTTTTCATACTGCGGCTGTGTAAGCATAGAAGTACAAAAACTGCTTCTGTTTCAGAAATTTCTACGTAAACCACTGTACCCAATTTTTCAATAGCAACTCAATGTCTCTCAGTTTTCAAGGTTCTTTAAAAAATATGTTTTACTTTGTACAGCCAGGAAGCTGCCTGTTTCCAAAACTAAACCCAGCCTCAACCTTTTCCAAGGAAATCCCTTTACCTCCAGAGAAAATAATTTCCTTAACAAAAGGTTGGCATTCCATTCACTCCTTAAAAAACGTCAACAGCACATCCTTCTCTTATTATGAATGAAAAATAGAGAGACATCTTTTTGGTCTGAACAGAGAAAATAAAAGTTGCAAATAATTTTACATATTTATAGTAAATAAATATTTTCACAAATACAAAATGCTACAATTAATTATAATAAAATTATTTTCAGTTTATAAATTGGTGGTAGTAAACAATTACATAGCTACCTACATGTCACTTAACCAGACACCAGCTATTAACATTCTGAACTATCCAGACATAAGAAATGAACAACAAAAAGCCCTTGACTGTCAGCTGATGTGGAATGTTGCAAACTCCATATACTTGATTCACAGAAATCCTTATTCTGTTCATACCTCCTTTATTTAAAATCGATCCTAGTACTAGTTTTCAAACACAAATATGGACGAGACACTTCAGAAACATTAACCTTAATCCTTCTAGCAACTCTCGTAATAATTTAATCCTCATATATTAAGAAATTGAGACACAGCGGTTAAGTAACACTTTGTAAACGGCAGGGCCATGGCTGGAATTCAAGTGTTTCTTTTTGGGGAAGGTAATTTTGGGTTTATTTATTTATTTTTCTTTTTTGTTCGCTTCTCCCTACCTTTTATTGAACTCAAGTGTATCTTACTTCAAAGCTTGCGTTCATTTCTTACCATAGGAGGGTAAGGGGTGTTTTCAGAGCTAACCAGAAAGGAGGAATGGGACAGCCAAAGGCAGGCAATGGAGAAACAAGAAAGGGAACTGGGGGAGAAATAAACAAACAGAAAAACTCTAACAAAAAGCCAGAATAAAAAGTCAAAAAAAAAATCACTATTAGTGACTTTAGTGTAGAAATAAATAGCTCCCCACACTCTAGCTTTTGAGGATTTCATTCAATTAACAAACAGTGACACCATAACTATTAGTCATAACAATTGTCCATGTCACCAAAATAAAAAAAAAAGCTTAGATTTTGTTCTGGATATTGTATTAACAAGGCAGGAAGGTAGAAAATGTTTTTTAAACAGAGAAATTTTAATCCAATGGTTTAGATAAAAGTGTTAACACTAAAGGGACATGTATATTTAAGCTATCAAAATATTAATTAATTTGCAACTCCCGTTTTCTGAGGACACCAGATGTACCAGGTATTACAATAATGTTACTTAAATTCATTTAGGTTTTGAATGCATATATTTTTTAGTTCATGGGGATATGCAGGGCAGAGCTTTGACAAATTGTTACGGTGGTTGGTAGTATGTATGAGCTTATAGTTGCTCTCTGTTATCCTTAGAATTGGATTCTTACATCATCCAACACTTGAGTAAGAAAAAAAGACAACTTTAAAAATTGAAACTAGGTGTGGTTCAGTGAGTTGGGCACCGTCCCACAAACCAAAAGGTTGCCGGTTCAATTTGCGGTCAGGGCACACGCCTGGGTTGTAGTCCAGGTCCAGGGCGTGCAAACTGATCAGTGTTTTTCTCACACATTGATGTTTCTCTCCCTCTCTTTCTCCCTCCCAACTGCTCTCTCTAAAAATAAATAAATAAAATCTTTATAAAAATTGTAACTAAGAGTTACTTGGATAAACCATAATTGATTCAGTGACTTTTGTTGCTTATCACTTAAAAAGCTATTAATTTGGATAATCTTAGCAAAACTAAATTTAGCTTGTATTATATACAAAGCAGACATCCACTAAACAGTTGTTGAGTGAATGACTTTTGAAAGAACTAAGGCAAATACTAAATGATAGTGATGATAATGATGATACTAGAACAAGATGAGTAAATCCTTTAATTTTTAAATGTGCTATTTTACTGTTTCATCATTGAATGTGGTTGTTCTCCAGGAGTGAATGATATGGGCACTATGGCCACGCTTATTTGGAAAGGGTTTTTACAATCCAGCCCGTTAATTCTCTTTTGTTTTCATACTCTATTTTCCAACTGCCTTACAAAATTTTAAATTTGTTTTTCAAAGTCTTGCCTGAGAAAAGTTGTTGTTGATAAGGTGTCATAGTACCTGGGGAAGAGGTAGCATTAGGAAATTAGTCCTAATATAGACACAGATATCTAGGATTTAACATTCAAATGCTGGTTAGAGTGATCTCTTCCCATGGAATGTGATCTTAGTTTCCTGACTGGGAAAGGGCTTTAGAAATCTTCTGACTCAATCTCCCACTATGCAGAGCATCATCCTCAATAGGTAGTTCATGGACCTCTGCTTCAAGGTACTTTCTCCTAGAGCTTTGGGGATAACTACTTCATGTCAGACAGCCTCTAAGTGCTAGAAAGTTTCCCTTTATGTTGAATGGAAATCTTTCTTTGGGGCAGCTACCCATTGGTCCTAGGCCTAAACCTTCCACGGCCTCTTCGAAATGTCCTTGTGCTACCTTTAAACAGAGCCACTGTTCGGAGGTGGCATATTTGTTGGAATCCATCAAGCACTGAGCCTAGCTCATACATAGTCTGAGGATGAGAGCAGGGAAGGCTATGCTGTTGTAAACATGACATTTATTCTGATGTGTTCTGTTGATCCTATCTGCAACCCTCCAAAGAAAAGAAAAATAAACACTGGATTTCCAAATTTTATAAGTCAATTAGAAAAGGCCCATTTCCAAAACTGGAAGTATTAGAGCTAATATCAGAGCACCTTGGCTACTGTTCAGACCCACGCACCTGAAATTGCCTGGGCTGTGGACATCTGTTTTGATGGAGTTGACTGCATACTCTGGCCTGTAGGTCCCACACCACACCTACAAATAGAAATAGAAAAGGAAACCTGTTGCTTAGGTTTAATCAAGGATTTTACTTATTTGGGCAGGCTGAGGGAAAAGCAAACTTCCTACTCTAAAAATTAAATTGTAATTCTACATTCTTCAACCATTTACTCTTTGAATAATGTTCAATGATAGGCAACCAGGAGCATAATTATCATTAATATCATCTGACAGTCTGTTATACACAACGAAATTTTGTCAAGTCAAACGATCTGCCACAATTAATTAAAACAAGAAACCTCAGCATGTAGTATCTAACTTACTATAAAATTATAACTCAAAAAGATTTTCAGATCTATCAGTTAAGAAAGATACCATACCTGAGCAAAATTCAAGAAGAATAGTTGTTTGTGATTTAGGTCAAGTCCAGGAAGTAATTTTTCTTCACCGTTCTTTCTAACATAATTTTGATAGGCCTAGGCATTTAATGAAACAGAAATATGATGTTTATAACTTCCAAATTTATGTACAAATCTACACAAAAGACCACATAACCAAGTAATTAACTTTTTGTGTCAGAATCACCACAATAATATATTTAGATATGGCAACCTAGAATTTACTTACAAATGCTTTGAAAAGAACAGCATACTGAATAACAAATGACAAGAGCCCAGCACATATCAAATGAGCAATAAATGTCAGTTAAATGAATGAATGACTTAAATAAATAATGGAAAACTTATGTAAATGACTTTCTATTCATAGATGGATAAGTTCAACTAGTTGGAAGAATGGATTGCCAAGGGAGTCTGTAGTTGTTATATTTAGCTTAGTTACTACTCTTAGCAAAGTACAGTTATGCCAGACTTTGTGTGATTTTTGCCAAAAGTCAAGGGATTCTCCTAAGATCCCGTAGAGGCCTAATATCCTAGGATCCTAAAAATAAGGATGAGCAATTATTTTGGCCCCCTGAAGACAAGGCAAAACAAAGTGAACATTAGTTACTTTAGGAAAAAGGAATTTAGGTTACTTCAATGTGGAAAAATATTTTCAAGTCTTAAGGATTCGTGGACACTATTGAAAAATACATTTTTCTCTACTTAAATATACTTAAGAAAGGGATTGACAGCAAACTTTTTGAGATATCACTTCCAATTTAATACAAAGGAAAATGATCAATTAGATAAGCAGAAGTTCCATTTCATTTCTTTCTACTTGCCATGACCATAGATTTACTGAGTCTCTACTGTGTAAAGAAGCTGAGGCAATGGGGGATACTTGAGCCTGTTCCCTCTTAGGGAGTTCACAGTCTAGTAGGAGAGAGGGCATTGGATGTTATGATTTCAAGTATGATGAAAGATTTGCACAAATACAATTTGCTTCATTATAATTCTGTACTTATTCTAGATGAGGGTCTCCAAGGAAGGACCATCAACCCAGATTTTGGCTGAATTTTTAAAGTAGCAATTCTTAACAGGGTAGTATATTAGAATAACCAAAGGAGTTTTAGGAGTGCCAATGTCCTCCCCTTCCAGGTGAGGTAAAGTGGCAGGGACTGGTTAATAACCATCCCGCTGAAACAACCAAATGATCGTCAAAATACATGAAACAATGGCTTGCATGACAATGGGCATTGGGAAAAAGGAGAGTGATCTCTGCGAAATGGTAAACAAAAAGGATGAGCCCTATGCTTGCCCCCAGCCTACTGCCTTGAGCCTGTCTAGGCCACACTGCCAAGAAGGGAAACTCAATCAGAGTCCAAGGGACTCCTGAAGTTGAGGACAGAAAGTTCAGGGACACCAAGGACAGGGCACTGAAAGAAAGCTGCAGAGACAGAGGAACTCAGGAGGCCAGATGGCCCCCTCAAGCATTCAGCTGAGTATGTGAGCACATGATCAAGTTATACAAGACTAGTGAAGGAGCCTTAACCAATGATTAGAGATAAAAATGTCTGGTATGCACACCCAAGAACATTGAAGGACCTCAAGGCTCACCCAGTAGGGCCTTGCCTCAGCAGTGGGGAATAACTGTCTTTACACAGAACACTCTCTAGTTCCACCTAACGAGGTGTAAAAGCAAGATCCAAAAGGACCAAACCATTTCTGAGGAATTTAACTGTGTCTTAGAATAAGGCTCAAAAATATTTATAGGAAAACAAAAATATCCAGCACCCAAAGAGGTAAAAGGCACATCTGGCATCCAGTAAAAGAAAAAAATTACAAAGCTTTCAAAGAGGCAGCAATTTACCCTCTCCCAGGACTTGGTGGGGATCCATTCTTTTGGAAACTTTGCAGTCAGCGTAATCTCGCAAGTCTCACACTCTATTTATCCGCCCATGTTCACCGCCAAATCTCAGGCCCCACTGGTCATCTCTCCTACTTCCTTTTTCCTGATCCAACTACCGATCCTCTCTCCTCCCACAACCCAAAGATTCCTATGACGAACAAATAACCCTGCGTCCTCATTCGCTCTGTAGAATATTCAGTTCATCTCACCGTGGGGGCTCCCTGTCCCCTGTATCCTCTCGAGTAGACTCTGATCATTCCCCCACACCTGGGCTACCTCAGGGTTGAAGGATGCCTCAGCATTACCCTCACTCCTCATTGTCACTTCCGAGACCAGTATTCTTCCACTCTTTGTGAAAACACATACCTTGTGCACATGGCATCTACAAGGACAGTGCCAAACACGTAGTAAAGTCCTCAAGTATGTGTTGAATGCACAAATTAATAGAAGGCTAACTGAGACTCGAGGGAACACTGCAAGATAAACTCCTCTGGCTATAACGGTCTGGATGACTAACAGGCCACATGCTGAAACCGGATCACTTAGTCCCTCACTGTATCATTGTAACTGGCCTGTGGTTTAATAGTTTACCTGTGGTTTATGCTAATTATGGTTCCCAAATACTACTGTACCTACTGTGAAACTGAAGGTCCTGTTCAGTACATTGACCAATGATTCTGAAATAATTCTTTCTATGAGGCCTCTTCTGTAATAAATTTATTTCAGAAATTATTTCTTAGAAAAAGGTTGCCTCCTCTGTGGACTTGCACATCCTGCTCATCTCTGCTGACATACTGTTTCATGTGTCTTCTCAGCTTTTTGCATTCAGTTCAGTCACAACTGGCTACTGAACCAGTCACAATTGGTGGGCGGGGGTGGGGGGGTGGGGTGGTATTGCCCCCTGCTGGTTAGCGTACTTACAATTCCTTTTCTCCTCATATTCCTCACTTTCATCTTTTGATGTTTACACGTTTATATGTGTCTTTTGCAAAAAGCTTTAAGTGAATGATTAAAGATAACAAATATACACACTCTAACCACTAAAATGGGAGAAAAATGCTATTACTCACTCTGTATGCTTGGCCAATACCTCCGTTATCAGCAATGTTTTCTCCCAGTGTATTAATTCCATTAAGCTGTTAAAAAAAAATAGACCCTTAACTATATTCTGATTGTTAAGAAAGCATCAATAGTTCACTTTTGACTGGACATATTGAAAGCTTATCAAGAGAATGCCAATGACATACATGCTGTCCACCTGCCAGGTCCCAGGAGAAGTTTCCGTACTGGTACACCATGCACTGGGATTGCTCTTTAAAATTATTTGCGGACTGTTGTGACCACCAGTCAATGAGGTCTCCATCTTTGTTAAAATTTCTGCCTGTAATATATTTATTCAAGCAAAATGAGAGCTTATTACACCAAGAATTGCAATAAGATATTTTTAATTCAAAGTGCAGGAACTGAAATACCACTATGTGAGAGAACAAGAAATTGAAGAGATAATGAGAGGAACTGTTATCCTTTCTCATGCAGAGTTGATGGAACCCGGAACGCCAGGGTTTTCTTTGCTGATGGACCTTAGCGTTCATTCAGACAGTTCACCTCCTTGGCTCGTAAGATCCCAAGTGAGGTCACCAGATAAACACTCCTGAAATAATGCCTCATTTCTGTTGGTTTTCACCTGAACCGAGCCTGTTTAACTTGATATTCTGATACTTTAAAAGGCCAATATTTTTTGTTCTGGCATTTGTTTCATATCTCAAACCCCAATGACACATTGTGGACTCAGTTTCCCTCTACATTAAGTACAGAGAAAAAGTCACCTTTCCTCCTGGAGCTTTCCTGCTGACCCTAAATATTGGGCTCACCAAAAAGTCCGTTACATTTTTTCCATAAAATAAAAGACACATTTTTCATTTGCACCAATAACTTTAGTGATTTAAATATTTTGAGTATGTTGGCTGTCTGGTTTCTAGTTGGTAGAGGCTAGGGGTGCTGCTGAATATCTTCCAATGTGTAAGGCAGCCCCACAACAAATAATTATTTGGCCAAAATGTCAATAGTACCAAGAAGTTTCACACAGCACTTATGACACTTTCAATTAGTCACAGCACCTCCTCCATACAGTGTACAAATCTCTTGTGTTTCAGTTGAGTTTTTTTACTTTTCTTGAAATAATGAAGCATAATATGCCAAAAATGTTGCATATTGTCTTCCATCTTCAATATTAAAATGGCTGCACAAAAATTCACCAATTTTTTAAATGCATGCTGGTATGACGACTTTCTCAATAAAATTTAACAAAATTGTTTCGAATGAAGTTAAAGACAACTAAGCACAACCAGAGCCATCATAGGGAAAAAATGTAATGGACTTTTTGGCCAACCCAGTACATTGATATTTTCCTATTTTGAGCTATAGTAGCATTTATATATGTCATATATTTTGACACTGTATTTTATCATCTTTTTAATAGTTATCTATCATGTAGTGAGTATGAAAAGGGCTATGAATACACACTACCTGAACTCACATTCTGGTTCCACCAATTCTGAGCTTTGTAACTTGAGTCTTTCATGTGTCTCTATTTTTTTTTTTCATTAAAAAAATGGAAATAGTATTAGGACCTACCTGTGAAGTCTGCTGTATAGCTAATTGGGTTCACAGACACTTAGTGTCTTTTCAGAGTTATACCCTTCCTGCCTGCTTTTCTTTCTCTGGATCTCTAAAGGTCTAGCTAAGGCTTAATAATTTCCTCTCCATTGTTCTCTTCCTATTTTCTTTCCCCTTGCAAACCGATCTTTGTTACAACTTCAACTTTTACCTCTTTATGCATCTCCTGCCTTTATTTCTTTTCCTCTCAATTTCACTGAAACTTCAACTCTATTTTGCCAATCAAAAATCTATTTTTCAGTATACAAACTTTAAGTGCTCACTCTTTGCAAGGCCTTAAACTAGGGGAAGAAAAGGAAGAGGTCACATGCTACAGGCAGTTTAAGACTCTTACGGCTTATGGGCATCTTGCTGTTTCATTTTTTATATCTGATTTTAAGACATGGACCCTGCCCTCTAAAAGGCCGGAGAGCTAAGATATAAAAAATCATGAAAGAAGACCAAATATTAGCATTGGTGTTTTCTCAATGTGAATATTTGCTTTATTTCATCAGAGAGTGAGGTACACACTGTTTACCTCACTACGAGAAACTTCCGATCTCTTTAAGCAACAATTTAAAAGGAACACTAAATAGGTGGTGATTATTAGGCCAATGATACATTGATGAATAAATGTATTTTTTGATTTATAAACAATAATAACTCTTCATCAGGTTTATTAGGTTATATCTTAGTCAAAGGAATGTCAAGTGCACTTTACCATTGTCATCGAAGCCATGGGTGATTTCGTGCCCTATGACCATGCCGATGCCCCCGTAGTTGAGCGATTTAGACTGCTTGGCGCTGAAGAAGGGGGGCTGAAGGATGCCGGCGGGGAAGACTACGAGGAAAGAAGACGCTTAGAGACTATTTGTGGTGTTATTTTGGGACAGCAGGCTTGGGGTTGGCTTCTTGCCTGCTAAACTGTTTTCTGATATATTCATTTCACTTAATTATATACAAAAATCTTTTGTGATAGTAACACATGCAGGCCTTTTATTATTGATAACAACAAAGGGTTTATCCTGGAGCAACACCATTAATCGGTAATTTATAACCACAATTCAGTTGACAATCTCTAGTATGATTGCTTTCTGCTCGAAGGAGTTTAAGAAAAGAGAAATTATTATTCACACTTAGAATGTCTTCATTGCATATATTTGGGAGAAATAGTTACTTAATAATGTAAGTATTGCTTTTTAATGGTATTGCTAACATTTTGTCCATCTATCATAGTTTATTAGATAGAGCCACTCAATCAAAGATGTTCCCAATTGCATAATCTTATTTTCATTGAGAAACCTATGACTGTTTATTTCCTTTTGTATAATTGTTCTTTTTCTTGACTGTCCCATCCTTTGCACCTCTATTTGTGCACAGAGGGCAGAGATTCATGTGTCTGTACCTATGTTTGTTTGTTTTTTTTTAAATTTGTTTATTTTTTTCAGTTTATCTCCAGCATCTAAAACTAGAATAGTCCCTGGAACATTGTAGGCACTTAGAAAGTGGGTTGAACAAATAAGTAACCGATGATAAATGAATGAATAAGTAAATTTACTATGGTGTTCTAAAGACTTTAGTAAATAACAATTTTTACATGTCTACCCTGACATCTACATTAACTTGCTAACTTTCAACACTTAGATGTCTTACAGACTCTTTAAATTTCAGGTGTTGAACATCAAACTTCTCATCTTTCCCTCTAAGCCATCACTCCCTTGACTTTATTATTTCTGTTAAAGGCATTTTAAAGGGTCTCAATTCACCCAAAGTGAACAGATTGTACTTACCTTAGATGCCTCCTTTCTTTAACAAAGTCTTACACAGTCTGCTTACAAAAAGTCTAGATCATGGACTTCCCTTCCAGGATCCTCTCTTCTCTCCTCCTATCGGTCTGACTGACATTATCCTCGTTCATACTCTTACTCCTTGCCTCAAAATTAATTTCCTAATTAGTCTTCCCACTTCCTGTCTCACCCACCTATCGTAGTCACTATATTGCATCCTAAATCTAATCGATCCTGCAGCCATGTATTCTGCAACTCATTACCACTTCCCTGCTAAGAACTTGTTCTCTGCTAAACACAGAATCTTCTGCCTGGGCTGGTTCCGCGGTTCTCGCCTACTTGTACACTTTCCTCATGCCCTCCCCTTTTGTCCATAATGCTCATAATTTAATAATTTCATCTTTCATGTTTTAAAACTCCAGTACCCACTGAAGACTGAATACTGACACATTATGTTCTGTGACAAAAAAATATCACTGGTATAACATCTATTACTTGCCACGCCCCGGGCCACTGCTATGTGGAATACCAGGAATACGAGAAGGATCCTGACCTTAAAAATTTTAATATCTAGTTAAGACAAAGTAGCAAATATTGTTTCTTTGTCTTTTAGGCAGGGCAAATATGACAAAGTCCTGCATGTGTTTCAGGAATAAATGTTAGTTATTTACAGAGGAAACTTTAAAAATACACTGGGCAATTTAAGTGCTTTCAGATCTTTAAAAAAACCCCTGCAACATTGCTATAATATTCAAAATGACAGAATAATAAAACAATAAATACATTTGTCCTTGGTGAATTTTGATGAAAGTTATACTTTACATGTGGCTGCCTGAGCTATCAACAGTGACAAGAAATAATTTTTAGCTTAAACTATAAAAATTACGTGCAGTACTTTATTAACTTAAAGTGAACATTATCTCCCACACTATGTACTCTGATTAAAATCCACCCATTATATAAATGTTCTTGTAAAACGTGCTAGCAAGACTAAACATTAACTGTAAAGATCCTGCTGCTTTAATTATACCCTGATATGCCATTCTTCAGGCAAGTGATAAGATTTTTATGGCTCATATTAAATACTAGTGTTCAAGTTCAACTTTGCAAATTATGATTTCTCCTTTTACTCTGTCAGCTAAATCTTTATGATTAGGATTTTTCCCATTAGCTTTATTGCTGTTACTAGTAGACTTCACAACTGTTCATAATAACCAACTGCTTAGTTGTGCATTTTTTATTTCATGGATGTCAACAAGTTAGTTAATTAAATAAGTCATTAGTCCATGAAACAAAAGACTGTGTTTCTCTCTGCTCCCTCCCCCTCATTCTCTCGTTTATAAGAAATATAATTTTAGAGGCTTTGATATAAAGCTCAAGATTGCAATTGCATAAAATCAATTTTTGGTAGAAAAAATTAAAATTCTTTTTATAGTAAATGTTTAGAAATATTTACTCTTAATTTTCAACTCTGAAAAGAAGACTCCTAGGAATGAATAAGACAATTTAGAATATTTTACTATCTCAGGATAGTCACAGACCACCCAAGCTGGATAAGCTAAATATAAATAACCCATCGTTTTCCTAAAATTGAAAAAGTTTTTGATTGTTAATGAAAAAGGGGAATACAGCCGTAGTAAGTCTTCCCTTTTAACTTGATTCCTTGGATAAGATTTTAAGGTTTAATAAGATTATTGAACTGTGCCTGGAACTTACAGAGAAACATTCCACGAAACATTTGCGTGCAGCTTTGCTAATGGCACAAAAGGTTTCTAGAGCTCCACAGCAAGGAATAGGAACCAGTGAGTGAATTGCACACTTTCAGGGTACTTTGCTGTTCTGGAAGTTGACTATATTTTATTTTATTTTAAAAAATATTTTATTTATTTTTAGAGAGAGGGGAAGGGAGAGAGAAAAGGAGAGAGAAAGGGAGAGAAACATCAATGTGTGGTTGCCTCTTGCACGCCCCCCACTGGGGACCTGGCTTGCAACCTGGGCATGTGCCCTGACTGGGAATCGAATCAATAAGCCTTTGGTTTGCAGGTTGGCACTCAATCCACTGAGCTACACCAGCCAGGGCATGGAAGTTGACTATATTTTAATCTACATGAAGTGGTGGAGGGCATAAAAATTGGAATGTAGCCTACATATATGAGTTATGACAAAGGGTGGCAACTGAAGTAAAAAGTAGAAATTATTAGTATAATCCTCTATATGATAATAAAACAAGTGTGCTTTTTTTTGTTTTTTTTAACATACCACAACAAAAACCAATCCTATCAGAAATTTTATGCAGTTTTATTTAGCGTGTTTGTCTGAGGGTGGGAGGGTCATTTATGCGACACATGATATTTTATACCAATTCTAATTCTGTAATGCACACGATACCCATTCCAGTAAGACAATATTAAGACAATGTTGCAAAAGTTATATGTCTATGTATGTACATCTACACACAGATACACACACATTTTTATCAAGAAGTAAGATGAGATCAGAATCGTCAATTTTTTAGTTAGGACAATCCCCACTTTGAAGATTTAAATGAATTGTCAAAGAAAAAACGTCACATGTCAAAGATTTTTCCTCTCCCATGACACTTTCCCTTTCTCTGAACTGCTATTATTAGCAGACAAGCATATGAAGAGAGGTTAACAACTTTTTAAATTTCATATTTCCTTCAGCTGAATTTATCTTAAGAACCTTTAACAGGTCTGTCATATATTATGAATGCTTGTTACAACCAATTCTTGATTATTTTGGGGATAATGGTCTACTGTTAGGCCACTTGAACATTCTTTTTCTTTTTGCTGTGTGCTTGTTTGGTTTGAGGTATTAAATACAAAATGGGAACATTCCCAGGCCTCCTCTGATAAGGAAATCTCTGATGTGGACCAATTTTGAGGTAGCTCCAGGAATAGAGGGTATTTCAGAGCCAAACAAGGTTCTGTCTTGACCTGAACTATGGGGACCTGCTCTGGAGAACAGCAGAAGGGTTAAACATGCCAGAGTGGTCTTAGAGAGCCTCTGTCTGGCTCTTCTTGTTGGGACAACTCAGCACCAGGTCGGACAGGATCCAGGGCCCTTCCTGAGAGGTATTAAAATGATGCTCTATCCCTTAGTCTGCCCTCATGAAGAACTCAAATCCAGGCTGCCTTGCTTTCTTTGCTTTGGGATTCCACTAAAAGTTAATTGTCTCACTTAAGTCCAAGTCTAGAATGAACGGGATGTTACACTGACAGAATTACCGAATATCAAAAAGAAGTCTTCAAAGTACAGACTCCTTCAAGTGATAAAGGCACTTCTAAGAAAAGGTTTGAACGGTTTCTAGGATTCCATTTCAAGGGATAGACTGCATAGGTGCTGAGCTGATCATGAAACAGACTCTGTTCTAAGTTTAGGTAACCATTTCACTAGCTGGGAAATGTTGTAGCCTAGAAGATACTTTGAGCTAATTGGTTTTAACCTGGGGAACCTGCCCTACTTATTATCTACATGTTATATGAAGACAAACTTTTCTGATTATAATTCACTTTCATGTCACATAGCAAAATAAGTTCCAGCTGGATTAAAGATTTACTCAAAAAATAAAAACCATAAAACCATGAAAGAAAATGTAGATAGCTTCTTTTTTAAAATAACTTTTTAATGAAGATTTTATTTTTTACTTTTAGAGAGAGGGGAAGAGAGGGACAAAGAGAGGAAGAGAAACATCAACGCACGAGAGAAACATCAATTAATTGCCTTTCATATGACCTGGCTCTCAACCCAGGCATGTGCCCTGGCAGCTAATCAAACCAGTGACATTTGGTTTGCAGGCTGGTGCTCAGTTTACTGAGCCACACCAGCTAGTGCATAGATAACTTCTTAATTTAACTCTTCCTATATTTAAAAGCAGTGAGGAAGGTATAATCTAATTTTAAAATAAATAAGATTTTTAATTTCTTTTAAAGTTCTTTTTTTAACCAATAGTAAAAATCTTGCAGGATTTTTCATCATTTTTAATCTAATTAGTAAGAAAATTTAAGAGAAATGATGTTTAGGGCAGACTGAGATACAAAAAGAATAGTGTAGAATAATGCTGAAATTATCCCCCCTCTTGATTCTTGACCAAACTTAGAAATAAAGGGCTGTACTGTTTAGAATACCTCTGCTAGTATTGAATCAATTAGGTGCCTTTCTACATGCTAAAAACCCTTACGGAATGGAGCTGCTACCATTGGTATTTAACTAGTTATTAATTATTAAGAGAGGGGAAGAGAGGGATTTAGACACTGAGCTTAATAAAGTGGGGAGAATAAGCCTGCTTGGTGAGCCAGGAAGCTAGGCCCCAGGGATCCCAGCATTGCTTGCTGAGGGGATTAACACTCCTCCCTTCCCCGCCAACACTGGACTGCTGGGGGCGAGGGCGAGGTGCTGGATCAAAGAGGCCTGTCAGTCTAACTAGAGGGTGTAAATCCATCCAAAACCTGTGTAAGCTTGGAAAATTGATGGGTTGTTTTGAAAAGACACCTGGTCTGTCTCAAGCCCAAAGTAACATAATCCCAGGGGAATAAAAAGCGCCCCCCCACCCCACCATGACCCACACTTGCAGGGTGCACTTTTCTGTTCTCTCCATAATCATGTGGCCTTAGTGGTCACATGGCCCATCGGTGTGTGGGCTCCACACACGGGCTCCAGGAAGGAGCCTGAATGCTTCGGCGCAGCCATGGACTCAGCTGGAAACATGCACTGAGCTAGCTGGGTGCTGGACTGAACTGAGCTTCAATATGGAGCAGAAACTCTAGGCAGTGGCCTTTATACTGGCCTTACTGAAGCCCAGACTGGGCTTCTTCCATGGGAGATGGACGGGGATGGAATCCTGGGAAGGCAGGTGGGGAATCCCCTTAACTTCACATCATCAATAAGCCACACCACAGAGCCCTGTCCTCCTGTGTGGGCCTCAGGAAATTCTTTTCCTCATGACACCACAAGAACTCATATTTAAGTGATACTTAAGACAAAGTTAAAGATGTCTAGGTCTTCCCAAGGAAGAGAAAAAATATGTATGTTATATTAAGACATTTAATTATTATGTATATCGTTTACACATTACTATTAGTGAACATATGAGCTTTTCCCTCTTTTGGGCAAAAGTGGTTAAGTAAATGTAATTTCATATGGTTCAACCTAATATAATTGACTTTTTAACTTTCTGAGCCCCACACGGTCTTCTAGAAAAAAAAGATAATACAGAACAGGACCATTTTCACTAAAGCCAGAATTTGTCAGGAAAATTAAATCTCTGAAAAGTGGGTTCTTGGAATCTTTAACCACTTTAAGATGTTGATACTTAAGAAGTCTTAAAGTCAATATAACTTTATAGCAATATAAGGGACTCTAAAAAATATTTATAAATTTAAAAAGTACTTAGAAACAAATCATTTAGCTAAAAATGAGAACATTGTTTAAAAAAACCACTTAATGTGATCTGTACTGATTTGAAATTTGCAATTATAGTGAAAAGTGATACATAAATAAATTTACTTTCAAAGAGTACATTCAATAAATCAGTTACTCAGCCTTAGCTATGCTTTTATGGGGAGTATTACAAGTTGGTCATGCAATTCACTACACACTGAAAGCAAGAAAGGAATAATACAGACTTATTTACGAACAGGCCTTACCTATCTGATTTCTGCCAGAAGAATAAAATGCGTTGACCACAGCTGCTCCGCTTATCCACCTATAGAAAACACAAAATCTCATTATTAATGATGCAGCATTATCTGATTCAATTTGCTCAACAATAAAAGTACTGTTACTATTCCTAGATGAATATTAACTTTCTGTTTGAAATATGCTTAACAAGTTAAAATTAGCTCACTAGGTGAGGAGTCGCGTTTAAAAGTATTTCTACTTATTGAAAAATCAGAACATATCCAGATCTGCAATCTGTTATTTGATTTGCATGAATTTTTATGGAGGCATCTGATAGTACAAAACCATTGAAATTTATCTCTTTGGAAATCACAATGGATTAACATTATATTGAAATGTGTTTAACTCTGTGTTCCTGATACTAGGTAACTATGTACAGCCAACAATTCTGGAGCAGTTGACAGTGTATAAAAGAGGTAATATGCCTCTGCTTATTGCTGTTTAAAATTATTTTTTAAAAAGAGACACTCCAGCTAATTGAGCAAAGGTTTACTTTTGTTTGATGATAGTAAAATGAAAACCAGGTGGTTCTTATATAGATTTGTCTGTATGTGCATAGCATGACTTAGGCTACGGATAGAATTTACAGTTTTACAAAATACAACTTCTGAATTCAGAAGACTCTAGTTTTGTTCAGGAGATGAGAATAACTATAAGACTGAATGAGAAAACGGAAAAAATAAGCTCCAAGACAGTAACTCAAGAGTAGTGCTAAGCAAAAGGATAGATGCCAATGTTCCCTTGTTTTTCATCTCAGATGTTATAAAGACTGCATATCAATAATCATAAACAAGCACTCTTGTGTACCAGAAGTGTTATTCCCATCTTAACATACTAATATATATTAGTTTAATGTATTAGTCTAATAGATTAATATGCATCCTTATATACTAATTGAAAAATGGACACTTTACCTTCAGATTAATCTCTTAAATGCCAGCATATGCATACACTTAAAAAGACAACTTCATTGTAGTTAGTCCATTTTCAGAGCAACAATTAGTGTGGCAATTACTACCCTGCTCCAAGGGGAGCTTACAGTAATTAGTACAGAGAGATTAAATCAGAACAGTTTCCAGGTCCTGCTTGTGAGGTCAGCAGCGCAAAGTCAGCTGCCCAAATCACCACTGAGCTACAGTTTCAGTAACTGTTCCAAGAGGTCAGACGTGAGTCCCATTTTTCTCTCTTAAAAATAACTGAGAAAGAGCCATATATAACGTGTCTGATAAATGCTAATTAAGTATGAGTTTTAGATCTCCAATAACATGACTAAGACATTCATATAAAGGATTTGGGATTTTAAGAGAAATCCAGATAACATTTCTGTGAATATTTCTTTAGGAAAAAAAAGAAGTTTGGAGATAGAAAGTGTGGGAGAGGGGATGGTTGATCAATGTGTTTCTTAGTTAGTCTGATGTTGTTTTAAACAGAGAAAAACATTTTCAAACAGGATGATGTGGTGATACATCGGTCCTCCCTAGTTTAATTACAGCGGAGTCATCAATATTTTAATTTCTTGAAGGTTGATGATTACAAGCACATAATTTTATTTATTTTAATTAAACTCCACTTGCTTCCCACATGACTTGTGGTGACTTATAACAACAACATGTATTTGTAAACCCAGGAGTGTTAGGCTAAAATTGAGAGATCAGAAACTGTACAACCCAAGTAAATTTTGTTTGTGTGACCAAAAAATATTATGAAACAAAAGATTTATATAAGTGAAAGTCATGATCTGGAGAAATGATGTATTAGGTCTAGCTTTACATGCATTCACACAGTTATTATTACTGAGGTTCAAGTATGGTTCTAAGTTGTCCAGCAGGAAGGGCAAAATGGAAAGTGTGCTCATCATGTTGCTGAGGGGACTGTTTCTTGTGGTGACTGTAGAAAGATATCTCTGATGTATCCTCAGCATTTTGATAGCAATATGGCAGTAGATTTTATGCATAAATAGCTTAATTATTTTAATTGTTATAAAAATTCATTTAACATATTTCCAGGTCTCAGCTGTTGTAAGTTTCAGTTTCTCAATTATGGACTTCTGACATAGTGATACTATACTGTGCATGGGTTTTGATGGGTAATCACAAATAATATCCAAATAGTTGGTTGGGAATTCAGGCACAGTGCTAATAACGCATTGTTACTGTTATGAAAGGTGCCAGCCCACACATTTTTAAAAAAATATGCACAGAGGAAAGGAACTAGACATATGAAACTAACATTTTAGACAGCAACAGATCTCAAAAGTAGGACATAGATGAATGAATATTACCCATCTCATGTTTATTGCTTTTGTAAAAATAAATGTCATACCTTTTGTTTTGGTGCCTTGGTGTTCTTCTGTTACATTACTTTGAAGGGCTTAAGGCTGCATTTTGATTAATGTTTATAACTTTGCAGCAGGGAGATTTTCACATAGTAAAATCTCCACTGTGAATTGTACCTTCAATAGGTAGCTATATATGACCACAGAATATTTAAATAAAATTAGAACTATGGTGGTTAGGTTCACAGAGTACTAGTGTTTAGTGTTTGCCTTTCCTTCCTTGAGATATCTCACTATGTGTCCTCAGATCATCTCTGGGTGATTTACACAGATTCATTTGCCCAAGACATACTGTCCCTGGGAATGATCAGAACTTGAAGAACTGTGATTCGATCATTACATTGTAAATAAAGTGAAGATAACACCTAGAAGTTCAATGTCAAAAATTTATGATCAAGAAGCTAAATGAACAGTTGAGGGGTTACGAAGTACAAATTAGTAGTTACAAAATAATCATGGGGATGGATGTATAACATAGGGAATATAGTCAATAGTATTGTAATAACTATGCATGCATATGGTGCCACATGGGTACTGGAAGTATCAGGGTGACACTCTATAAAGTGTATGATTGTCTAACCACTAGGTTATACACCTGAAAGTAATACAAAATAACATTGAATGTAAACTGTAATTAAAAAAATAAAAATTAAAAAAGTGGAAAAAAACTGTGCAAAGAAAATATTTTTCAAATTAAATGGTGATGAAACAAAATGATAAGTTCTTTTGATTTGGACGTAGCCTCAGCTTCAGAAGAAGCTTCCAATTTATAAAACAGACAAATTCAACCATGAAGAGCAGTACAGAAAAGAGAAAAGGGCACAGCAGAAGAGAAAGCCAAATGGTGGTGGTTCTTCCCCTAAAATAATGGGTGGTGCCAGCTACCTAAAGATGTCGTTAGGGTGTGAAGGTCAGACACTGGCAGCCTCCTGAGCACGTACCAAACCTGACACAGGAGAAGTAAGAAAACTTTGTTTTTAATTTCTGAGACACAATTTTGCAGGTAAACTTGTTCTTTGGGGCTATCGATAGTGGAACAAAGAAGGGCAGCTATATGCAGCATGGCCCTCCAAGCCGGGCCAACAGCGTGGATGGGAAATATAACTGCAACACGCTCGAGAGGGGGACCAGGTGTTTCTCTTCTAGCTCTCATTACCCTGAAGAACCTAAGTGGTGATAAACCGAAGGCACACAAACATCATTTTTATAGCAGGGAAGGAAAGCAGAAGCCGACAGCCTGACTCTATAGCTTTTTGGACATAATAAACCCCACTGGGTTGTAAAAACACCTGGAATAAAACTTCTCTTTCATCCACTCATGTGTAACTTTAAAACTTAAAACGACAGCACTGTAAATTGAACAGAGTGTTCAATTTCTCAGCATCTCGTGGTCTTAAAGTAACTCCTTTGAAATCATGAGAGCAATACAGTGATTTTCTCTGTCCTCCTCAAGGGCTCCTGAAAAAGAGACTTCTCATTTTGTAATCACAGTAACCACTGTAATTCTTTACATTTATTACTATTAACTCATCGAGACTTCCAAGCTTTCTATATACCTTCATTTGTCTCCCAAACCATCCATGTAATATAAATGAAACACCCAATTTTCAGGCATAGAAACTAAGGCACAGAATGGTTATCAAACTCTTTTCTGATATATATAAACTAAGTGATACAATTGGAAAAAAAAAACATGTAAACTAAGGAGAAATAGGATCCTATCACCCTCCAGTCAAATCCCCTTCTCTAAATCAGACACAAAATTTCATTACAATGATGAATGCCATTTTCTTGCCAACCTCTTTGAAAATGGAAATGCTCATTTTTAAATTGCTTCTGTGGAGGGGAAATTTTTCCCCCTCAACCTTTCTAGGTACTTTTGGCTGATCTAATAATTAACATAAAGCAGATTAACAGGAAAACAAAACCGAATTTAACTACAAATTTATGTAGTGGAGCCTTATAGGCTTGAGAAGCCCAAAGACAGCCAGGCAGTTGAGACTTACATGGCATTTCAAGCTAAGCAGGAGGGCTGCAAAGGGAAGGAAGTCAATTCACAGGAAGGTGGGGAGAGCAAATGCGTGGTAAACAAAGTCTGCCTTGCCCCGCCCCGCCTTGCAAGACAACAGGACACAGAAATTGAAACAGCCCTGCTGAGTTCCCTGCAGCTAGCTCACACTCTAATTATCTCTAGTATTAGTCTTCTTCAAAGTTGTTTTTTATTACTATTTTATTGTATTTTATTTTTTAGCGCATGTATGAGAGAGGTAAAAAGCTGTCTCTGAGTCTTTTGGGCCTTGTCTTCAGTTCAAAATAATCTGCATCTAAGTGGCACATCCTGACAGGAGTGCTGTGATATTTCATTCTGGGGAGGCTTGTTCTGAGCCCCTTCACTCCACAGGGGCTCCCTCTTATCCTAATAAGGTTGAGAATGTTGGCCTCTACACCACCCTGAAGTCCAGCCCTGAGCAGACAATAACAAAAGCAGCTATGACTTAATGAGCACCTATGTTATGCGGCGGCCACATCGCACAACATACAACACAACAACCCCACAAGGCAAAGGTAGATGTTATTATCTTAGTGTATAAAGGAATCATTGAGGCGCAGGGGTATCTTTTAGGTTGTCTAAGTTCACACAGCTAATAAGTTTCAGAGCAGAAACCTTAACTCAGGGCTGCCTGCTCCCT